GGGGGGGGAGTGCGGGCGGCCCCGCGGGGCAGCGGTCACGGCAGCGGTCGTGGCGTAGTCTCTGTCCTGGGGACCCTCCGTGACTTCCCTTGCTGCCCACGAGTGCAGCCCCTGAGCCCAGGGCGCCCTGCTTCATCACCGCGCAGGGCGCAGGGGAAGGTAGCGTGGAAGGGCCCCCGGCCGGCTCCGGCCTCCATGTCCTGGGGCTTAGTGGCTTTAGCTCCCAGCTGCTGGGGAGGGAGGGCAGAGAGCCCTCCGCCGCCTCTGCACCTGCACCGCGGTGTCCTGGTGTCCTAGCACGCGGGCCCGAGTCCAGGCTCCGTTCAAGGAGACCAGCTTCCAGACACCTGGCGTGTTGGGGCCTCCTGGCCCAGGATGCCCACTAGGAACCCGGGGAATCTGCCTGTCCCCCGCAGGTCACCTGGTTCAAACCCAGCTTGGGACCAAGACCAACACAGGCCAGCACTTTACCCAGGCTGGCAGGTGGTGTGGTGGCTAAAGGGCACTGGACTCCAACTTGGTCTACTGCAGTTCAAGTCCCATACCTGGCGGCTTGCTTTCTCACTTTCTCTTTCTCTCTCTCTGTCCCTCTGTCAAATTTAAATAAGTAAAGCTAAATTTAAAAATCTTTTTTTTTTAATTTAAAAAAATTTTTATTTATTTATTTTTTTGGAGAGGTTTTTTTGCTATAGGGCGCGTGCACTCGCCAGACAGAGACATAGAGACAGAAAGCGAGAAATCACCTCCCAGGGGGGATGGCCACGCCGCAATCCCTCCTTCTCCATTCTCCTCTCGGGATCTTGGGCACGCACGCACACACGGCTGGCGTGAGTTTTAAGCCACCAGGTCCGGGACACGAACCGCGGTCGACTACGTGGGAGTCCAGCGACATAGCCATTACGCTAACTGCTGGTTCCCCAATTTAAAAATCTTTAAAGAAACTAATAAAAAGTGCCACCAGCTGGTAGTATGCCCCTCACCGGCTGAGTGCTTCACGGCTACTTTCAGGTCGGAGTGGAGTTCAAGCTCGATGTCCAGCGGAATGTGGGTACCCACCTCTGCCCTTCTCACAATCGGGCTGCTTGTTTGAACCCCATTTTGCCACCCTACTGGTTCTGTGAGTTTGGGCCTGTTTTTCACCCCTCCATAGCACCTGCCTCGCAGACCTGTGAGAGGCTGGATGTTTGGTCTCCCCGCCCAGTGAGAAGCAGTTCTCATTAGCCAACCCCTTCCTGCCCTCCACCCTCTTGCTTCTGGAAATGGGGGCCTGTGACAAGTCTGGGAGCCAACCGGCCAGCTTGGGTAGGTGAGGTGTGAGGCACTTCCCTGGGGAAAGGGCAAGGGACGTGGTGGCAGCGTGAAGTGCCAGGGCAGCCCGAGTCCCACAGCAGATGTGTCCTGGGCACCCTGGTCCCCAACCACCCTTCCTGCCGGCCAGCGTGCCGTGCAGTGAGCGCCGTCTGCTTCAGTCCGCCGGCTCCCTGGAGGAGAGCGAGGGCAGGTGACTTGGCCCTCCCTGCCTCCCCACCCGTCAGCTCCAGAGAACAGGCTTTGACTTTCCCAGGCTGTGTTCAGTTTCTTGTCCCTTCTGCCGCTGCAGAAAGGGAACCACAGTTACTAGAATGGGTGGACCTGGTGCGGGGACAAGAGCATGGCAGGGAAGGGACAGGACACTAGGTCCCAGGCTGAGAGTGGAGCAGGAGAGCGGGCCAGAAGCTGCAGAGGGGCCGGGCCCGTGTCGGGTGCAGGTGTGGGGCGTGAGTGGCCATCAGCCATGATAGGGATGGCAGGGGCTGGGCCTACAGGGGCTCCTGGACCAGCCCACTCTCCCTGGCACGCCTGTCGCAGGGACGAATCTGTCTTGCTTTACTGTGTAACAAGCGCCCAGGAACACAGGATTAACACGGATGCACTAAGTGCCAGGTCACGAGAAGGTCAGAAGTCTGGGTGTCCATCCAGGCGTCTACAGGCCCCTTAGCTGGAGGCCAGGGAGGGAGCCAGCAGCAGAGGGCTCCCAGCACCCTTCTCAGTCTTCAGATCTGATTTTCTCCAGGAGAGGGCACACAGGCCAGGCGGCAACGGCTGCTTTGCCCATCTGGGATACCCTGTGGGCAGCCCTGAGCGGAGGCTGGGAAGGGAGTGACCCTCTGGACACTCGCATGCGGGTTTGTGGGGTGTCACTCCGTGAGCCCTCAGGAGAAGTACAGGCAGGGGAGCAGAGGCAGGGGTCACGGCCCTGTCTTCCATTGGGCACTTCAGTCTGGGCCTGGGGTGGTCGGCCCCAGATGGACCTGGAGGCGGAAGGTCTGCACTTGGCTCCAGGCTGGCATGGCCGCCCCGCTCAGGCTGAGGCGGGCCTGAATCCAGGGGCTATATGAAGCCACGCTGGTGTAGACGCCAGGACGGTTGGGCAGGGCACAACCTTTGCCCCAGCTCACCACGCCCACCAGGACCCAGCGCCCAGACTGCACGCAGGTTAGGGGGCCCCCAGAGTCACCCTGCAGGAGAAAGAGAAAGCAGTTTTCTGGGCTCTGGCCCCTCTGGGTGGCACATCCCGGTTGGGGGTCCAGGAGACAACCTGGAGAAGGTACCTCCTGGGGTCTGAGTTCTAGGGAGGCAGGGTGTGGGGCACAGGGGTGGGGACCTGGGGGCATAGGAGATGCACACCTGGCAGGCGTCCTTGCCGCCCTCGGGGGCGCCGGCACACAGGTTCCCAGGCAGTACTATGCGCTCTGCCTGGGCCACGTGGGCCCCCACGTGGTACAGACGGTCACAGGCACGCGAGTCCAGCAAGGGCACCCTCACTCCCTGAAGGGGCCGCCACTCTGGGAGTGGCACTGTGGGAAGGAGAGAGCCTTCTGAGCTCTGGGTGAGAGCGACCTGTGCAGCAGGGGCCCCGAGCTGAGAGTCCCACCTGCCAGGCCGCGTTTCTCCAAGTCGGCCTGGGTCCCAGACCCGGGCGCCAGTTGGGGAAGCTATTTCCAGACAGAAGAAGGGAACTCCCCCAATTCCTCCTCGAGCCCTGCTCTCGCTTCCTCACCTCCTGGGCGGAGGCTGCCCCAACCAGTGACCCAGCACGGTGTGCCAGGCCGCGGGCGGGCGCCGGGGGCGGGCAGGCAGACAGGCTGGACGCGGGCGCTCAGGGGCACTGGTCGCGCGGGGCGAGGTGGGGCCCAGGCGCAGCGCCCCCAGGCGCACGCGGTACTCGGACGGCGGCGCCCGCCTGCACGACACAGTGGGGCAACTTCCAGCGTCTGGTCCTCCACCCGGCAGATCCCAACCCCACCAGCCCGCGAGGACCCCGCGCTGACCTGGGGAAGCAGTGCGCGGCGGTCAGCACCCACTGCGGGGCGACCAGCGACCCCCCGCACACGTGCGCCCCGCGGTGCTGGATGCCCGCCTGCCACGGCCACTCTCCGTCCCGGGCGTCCCGGCCCCCCACGATCCGACTGGACACGCGGGGCTGCCCGCAGGCTGCGAGAGACAAGGGCCAGCGAAGGTTGGCGGGGACTGAGCGCCTGGGAGGCAGGAGCCGGCGGGGAGACCCCGGCCCAGGGCGTCTGGCCTCATGGATGTGGATACGCAGGCTTCCTCACCTGCGGACTCTGGTGTCGCTGCCGCACCTGGAGCAGGAAGCGGGGAAGGGACTGCATTGTGGATTGGTATCAGATAGCGGGGCTGGGGCCAGGGGGTGGGGAGGTGAGGGGTTAGGAAGGGGGTAGAATGTGCTTGAGGAAAAGACCTCGTGCCAGGCTTTGTCCTCGCAGTGACCCGATTTAGCCTTCCCTGATGACCGTGGGGAGGGGGCCATATGCCCATTACATGGACCACGGGAGGGTTTGGAGAGCCCAGGGTCAGTGGCAGAGAAGACTGGAACTCAGGGTCGAGGTCCGGAGGCTCCAGAGAGGGGTGAGGGGCACCTGGGAGCCAAGGGCCCTGTGGCCTGTGGCCAGCACGGGGTCTCTGCCCTCCTCACCTAGCTCCAGCAAGAGCAGGACCTGGAGGCAGGTGGCCTTCCCCATCCTGTCTTCAGGACTGGGCTGGGTGAGGGGGGCACAATCCGGTCTTGACTCTGGTCCAGAATCTGCAGGAGAGAGGAGCACCCCGTCCCTGCCCCCACCAGCTGCCCTCGGCCTGCTGGTCTCCCCTAGCCACGCTTGCCCCGACTCCCCACCCAGGGAGTTGTGGGCTTGGCCTCCCACCCTCTCGGTCCCGCTGCCCAGCAGCCGCTGCCCCTGCTCACCCTCAGGCCGGTGTCCACTGTGCTGACCCGTTGGGGCAGGGCCTGGGGACTTAGAGGGCAAGGAGGGGCAGGGCCCGCCCAGGGGAATTAACGGGAGGGCAGCTAGGCTCCACCTGGCCAGCCTCAAACAAAGATGCTTTGAGTCGCGCTTCAGAGGCGGCAGGAAGGGACGCAGCTAGATTTCTCAAGGGAACCTGCTGGCCTAGGTGCTGAGAGTGTGGGCCGGGCCTCGCCTGGCACTATGTGTGTGGGGTCCAGCGCTGAGTCTGATCCTGGCTCCTCGCCGTCTTGCTGTTGGGACGTCTGAGAGCCATTGTTCTGTGCAGAAGTGCCCGCTCAGCCCGGGCAGTTGGGCACTGAGAGACGCCAGCCTGACCAGGCCCTCCCACAACCCTGGTCTGGAAGAGCTCAAATTAGGGGGCAACTGGTTCAAAACTGGCAAACGCCAGGAACCAGCAGTTAGCGTAATGGCTATGTTGCTGGACTCCCACGTAGTCGACCGTGGTTCACGTCCCGGACCCGGTGGCTTAAAACTCATGCCAGGTGCATGTGTGTGTGCGTGCCCAAGATCCCAAGAGGAGAATGGAGGAGAAGGGATTGCGGCGTGACCATCCCCCCTGGGGGGTGATTTCTCGCTTTCTGTCTCTATGTCTCTCTCTGTCTGTCTGGCAAGCACACGCGCCCTGTAGCAAAAATCTCTCCAAAAAAAAAAAAAAAAAAAAAAGCTAAAAACTGGCACACGCCCTTGCTTGACCAGAGGCGGGGCAGGCTGGACCTTGGGAAACAGTCACTCTGGTTGAGGTGGCCGGGACAGAGCCAGGCAGCTGGTCTTGGGAGAAGCCAAGAGAAACTGGGAGCCAGGGAACGGGACCAGCCTTCCCTTCAGGCTATGGAGGGCTGGGGCCTGGACAGCACCCAGGGCCATCTCGTCCCCGCCCAAGTTCACACACTGCGCCTGCCCGGAGCTCTCAAACCCCCTGCCTCCTCCATATCGCTCAGCCTCTACTCTCTCAGTTCCTGCATGGGGGCTGCCTGCCCAGGCCAAGCTTCCATTATGGCCTGGCTGGAGCAGGGAGTGGGCCTGTGCTCAGGCTGCACCTGTTGCCCCCTCCACAGCAGGGTCAGGCCTGTGTGCCCGCATTAGTCAGTTGACTGCCGAACGAACAGCAAGACCAAGCAGCTTAAACAACACGTTCCTCCATGGCTCCGGAGGCCGGAAGCTCGGGACCAAGCTGCCAGCCAGGCAGGCTGCACTCTGGGTTGCTGTCCCCGGCTCTCCTCCTCACCCCCTGCACTCACGAGGCCTCCTCGTGCAGGAGGCTGGACGGGGTGATTGCCTGTGTCTTCCAGGGGTGCTAATTCTAGTATTTCACCTTAATGACGCCCACACATACAAATGTCCTCCTGGGGTGAGGTGGGGCTTCATCGCGTTTGGGGGAGACAGTCATTCAGCCATGGCAGCCTAGAGCGCCAGGTGCCTGGCCAGAGCTGGCACCGAGGACTTGGGAGTCAGCCGGTGGAGCGGGCACAGCTGGGAGTGAGGCTGCGGGACATAGGAGGGGACCTGGTAGCAATCTAGACCCGGCCTCTCGATACACAGGGCCAGGTCCTGGAGGCCGGGCTCCCCAAGCCCTGAGGGGAGTCACCCACCCCACGTACCTGCTGTCCTGTGGAAACCCACCTCAGTGCTGGTGAAGACGGGCTGGGTTCACCATGCAGAGCCAGTGAAGCAATGGCAGCACACGCATAAGAGGAGCCCGCCCCGGGCCTCCGGAATCTGTCACCCCAGGGGCAGCTGCCATCAGAGGGCTTGGCGGGAGCAGGGCCAGGTGGTCAAGATCCCTGCCCTCGGTGCAGGGTTAGGGGAGCGGGACTCTGGAGGGGCTGTGGGAGTGAGGGTGTGAGGGACCCGTGGAACACAGATCCTCCTGGGGGCCGGGCCATGCCTGCGGAGGGGTGCTAGCTAGGGGGCTGGGCAGCTGTTCAGCGTGTGGGGGTGGGGGCTGAGGACACAGACTCCCTGGAAGACCCAATTCTTGCCAGCTGCTCTCTTTCTCTCTCTCTTTGTCTTTTTTTTTTTTTTTTTTTTTTTTTTGTTTTTTGGCAGTGGGGTCACCCCGGAGTGAAAAATCACCCCCAGGGGATGGCTCTGCCTCAGTCCCTTCTTCATTCTGTTCAGAATTTTGGGCATGCGCGCACATGGGCCTGGTGTGCTTCTCAAGCTGCTGAGTCCAAGACTCAAACCATGCAGCCAGTCGTGTAGTACCCAGCCGTCTTAACCGCCATATTACTTGTTGACCCTACGCTACTAATCATTTTGAAAAAAGAATTATTATTGGGAACCAGCAGTTAGCGTAATGGCTATGTCGCTGGACTCCCACGTAGTCGACCGCGGTTCACATCCCAGACCCGGTGGCTTAAAACTCACGCCGGGCGCGTGTGCGTGCGTGCCCAAGATCCCGGGAGGAGAATGGAGGAGAAGGGATTGCGGCGTGACCATCCCCCCTGGGGGGTGATTTCTCGCTTTCTGTCTCTATGTCTCTCTCTCTCTGTCTGGCGAGTGCACGCGCCCTATAACGAAAATCTCTCCAAAAAAAAAAAAAGAATTATTATTTAATTTTATTTAATTATTATTACTGTTTTTAATTTCCTATAGAACACTTGCATTTACCAGAGAGAGGGAGAGAGAGAGCGAGAAAGTGAAAGAGCAAACTGCCAGGTCTGGGACTCGAACCGCGGTCAACCATGTGGAAGTCCAGCGCGCCTCAACCACCACACCACCTGCTGGTCCCTTCTACCAATCATTTTTAGTGGACATCTCACTTATTATCATTAGCTAATCATTATCATAGACATTGTTGTACAAAACGTCTCTACAACTTTTTCATCTTGAATTACTGAAACTTCTGTCCTGAATTTCT